CAAATGAAGCACTCGGGTGTTCACTGAAAGCTTCCCCTGGAGTCTGGAGCTGTCTGAGTCAGCACCAGATTCACTTTTGCTCACCAGCCTTGGCTTTCCCATGGAGATGCTCTGATGGTTTGGGGCTCTTGTGTTCAGATGAAAACTGCAGCTCTACTTGGCTGCCTCAGAAACTCCCCATCCTGCTCACACTTTAAAAAAGCACTTTTTAAATGCCTTGGGAGCATCAACCATCCCAGCAGGGCATGTGGGAATCCAGGGAATTGCCTGGTGCCTGCTCAGCTGTAGCTCCTGCTCCCCCAGTGCTGGTGGGAGCAGCTGGAGGTGATCAGGGGTGGCCAGTCCCTGGGGAAAAGGTGATTTAAGGGAGCTCCCAGTGTTCAGGGCCTCTTGCTGGCTCTGGGAAACACTGGTGTGGCTGCTGGGAACAGGAGCACAAAGGCTGTGCCTTGGTTTCTGCCTGAATTCCCAAAATCAGTGGAAATCCTGAGGAGTATTTCATGCTGAATATCTTATTTTGCTTATTCCTTCAGTGCAGGTGAGCATTTGGTTTCATTTATAGCTTGTGGGACAAGTACTGGTTATAGCTGCAGTAATTGCCATTCCTTTCTCGACCAGCACTTGGGCAATCTCTTAACTTCACACCTTGTTTGAGGTGAGAGATTTGAACCGGTGAATTTATCAGAAATGCCCCTTGAGAGGCACCCAGCCCGCTCTGCCGATCTCCTGTGGCATTGTGCTGCCTCACACGGGGCGCTAAAATCTCCAGGATAGGCGAGATTAATCTTAATTTTAGATATTCGATCCTCTGAGGCTGCAGCCTGACCTGCTCACCCCAGGGTGATTCATGCCTGTGCCATCTATCTCTGGGGCGAGAGGAATTGCCCTCTGGAAGCTCCTGCTTCCCCTGCATGGCTGCGAAGGGAACCTGGAGCAACCGGCTCCGAAAAAGTTTCAGCATCTCAGCCCAGGCGGCCGAACCCCCTGCCTGGTGTCTGCCTGGCACTGCTCCCCCCATTTCCCTCCCAGATGTGCAGCCAAGCTGATTCCCTGCAGGAATGACACCTGCTGAAGGCTGGGATCACCTCCCCATCCCCCTGGGAGCTCAGGAGAGGGATGAGCCCTGCTGGTGTCACTCCCTGCAGGTGCCACCTGCCCGTGTGAAGATGAAGGCCACCCTGATTTTCCTTCTCCCCCATGAGGGTGCTTTTATCCTGCAGGGTCGGACTGGCTCTGCTGCTCCCCGTGGATCCCTCTCCCCGCGTTTTCCAGGGAATGGCAAGCGGGTGGGGGGAACTGCCCGGGACTGCTGCGCTGCTCCCATCCCCAGAGAAACCTCCCCAGGCAAACTCGCACCAGATCTGATGCCAGGGCTATGCAAAACAGCTGCCAGGTGAACCAAGGAGAGCAGCACAACCCCGGGGAGCCACCTCGGCTTATCGCTGCTTTTCCAAGCACCCAGAGCAGCAGGGTGAAGCCCTGGTGATGGGCGAGCTGCTGGGAATTGTAGGGGCTCCGAGCTGCCTTTCCCTGTTGAAATCCCAGGGCTTCCCCAGCCTCGTGGAATTTCAGGAAGGGGAGGACCGATCCAGCAGATTCTGGAGGTTCTGGATGCCATTGTGTCTGGCTCGTGCAGCAAAAAAATAAAAATCAAGATGTTAGCCGGGCTGAAGCTCCATTAAAATGAGTGGAGTTCTGGCAGTTTGCAGCAGGAGAGAGAATCTGCTGCCACTTACACTTTTCTTCCTTTTTATCTCCTGGAGCTAGAAAAGATTAAATCTTAAGTGCAGAGTGTTTGAACAGCTCGTTCCTTTAAGGAGAGAAATGACTACTGCAGTGTGAGTCCTGATGTTGACAAAAACCAGGAGGAAACTGAGGCTATTTTTATAAAGCATTTGGAGGAAAGTTACACTTCAACTGAAAGAGGAGAGTTGTTATCCCTATCACACCCAAACCTTGGCTCGCAGCTGCAATCACTTGACTCTTACACTTACTGAAACAGAAAAAAAAAAAAAAGGGGGCCAGATTTGTTTGCAAATAAATCTGTGCCCAAACACTCGTCGGTCCTGCAGAGATTTGTGTATCCAGCTCCCATTTACATAACCACGGGCAGCAGAAATCACCCCTCCCAGTTTTAAATCTCTCCCTCTTGGACACCCAAGGCCAGGAACTGGTTGCCCCTGGAGTCAGGCAGGAGGAATTGTCATCTCCAGGAAGATGGGTGGCTCAGATAGGGGCAGGAATGGCCTCTGGAGGTGCCTAATGCTCCTTCTGTCTGCCCAGGCAGCTCCCTCAGGCTTAGGCACCCCTGTTAGTGCCAGGCTCAGGAATATTTGCTCAGCTGGCACAGAATTCCTGAATGGGGTGCTGGGATGCTGTGCGTGACTTTGTAGGAGAAAGAAAAGGTCTGAGTGTGTCAGCTGCAGGAGCTTGTGGAAGGAAGGCAAAGGAGGAGATGGGCAGGGGGGAAAGGCTGTGCTGGAGGCTGTGGGGCTGTGCAGGGAAGCTCCGTTCCAGCTGCACCTCTCGGGTTCCAAGTTTTGGGGTGAATGGTGGTGACTCAGCCATCGTCACTGGGACCAGGGATTCCCCTGCAGCTCTTTGAATCTTGCCTCATCACCACCGAACGTGAGTGAGACTCCTGTCTCCAAGGAACCAGGAGATTAGCTTTTCCTTCCTGTTCTATTTTAGCGGCTGGGAACTTTTATTTCCTCCTTCCCTCCTGGCTTTGCTTCCCTTCAGCTGCTGCCTCCAGATCGCATCAAGCACCCCCCGTGGGGGTTTCAAAGGTAGAAACTGCAGCCTTGGAGATGCTCCGCGGTCCTGCTCAGGTGTGTGGATGCTGATTGTGATCGCCCATTAACGCTATCAGCATTCCCATCGCTGGATGCCCTTGGCTCCTTGGCTTTTTGGGGCTGGAACGCAATGAATGAGCCCATTCCTGGGGAGGGAGCAGCTGGAGAGAGCTGGACAGGGAGCAGAGGGGGCTGGAGCAAGGGAATTACAGGGGGAAAAGAGATGAAGGACTGAGATTGGGGAGGGAAAATGCTGGGAGACAGCAGGATGGGGGAAAGGCAGGAAGAGCAGGACAGAAATGCAGCCAGGCTGGGGGAGAGGGCTCAGAGCTGGCTGGGGTGTGGATGGAGAGGAGATGGAGATCTCAAATGGGGGAAAGCTCAGAGCTGGTTGGGGTGAAGAGAGTGAGGAAATTTTAGCATTGAGGAGGCACCTCAGAGCTGGTTGGGGTGAAGAAGGTGAGGAGATGGAGATTCCAAATTGAGAGGGCAGCTCAGAGCTCATTGAGGTGCAGAGGGTGAGGAGATGGAGATCTCAAATGGGGGAAAGCTCAGAGCTGGCTGGGGTGCAGAAGGTGAGGAGATGGAGATCTCAAATGGGGGAAAGCTCAGAGCTGGCTAGGGTGTGGATGGAGAGGAGATGGAGATCTCAGACTGAGGGGGAAGCTCAGAGCTGGTTGGGGTGCAGAAGGTGAGGAAATTTTAGCATTGAGGAGGCACCTCAGAGCTGGTTGGGGTGCAGAGGGTGAGAAGATGGAGATTTCAAACTGAGAGGGCAGCTCAGAACTCGTTGAGGTACAGAGGGTGAGGAGATGGAGATCTCAAATAGGGGGGAAGCTCAGCTCAGAGATTGGGATGCAGATGATGAGGAGATGGAGATCTCAAACCGGGGGGAAGCTCAGAGCTGCCTGCGGTGCAGAGGGTGAGGAGATGTCAAGCTGAGGGGGCAGCAGCTCGTTCTGCCGTGGCCCTGCTCCATTGCACAGTCCCTCAGCTCTGTTTCCACAGTCAGTGCTTTTTAAATGGCACAGATTAAATCTCCAGGGCTGTTTCTAGACAGCAGAGAGCAGCCACGGAGCTCTGTTATCCCCGACTCTCCAATGTTTTGCCATCCGTGGATAATTGTACCAAGCACACTCCCCCTCAGCATCCACGCTGATTCACCTGGGAATCACTCTGTGCATGGAAAAATATGAGCTGGGAAAGGATAAAGGCTTGTTCAGTTGAGGAAAGTCCATGGGAGGGCTGGATTTGCCCTCCTGCCTGCACAGCCTCTCCCAGGCTCTTTGCAGGAGCCCTGAGCTGCTGGAAAACACTGGAAAATGTGCTGGAAAATGTGTTGGAGCTTGATCAGATCACAGGGCACAGGCTCTGCTTCATGGGGAAAGTTATCCTGGAAAAAACAGCAGGAGCAGGAGGCCTGGGGGGTTGTGCTGGTGGGATGTGAACAGTTCCAGGCTCTTTATCACAAATTCGGGCTGGACTGGCAGGGAAAGGCCTGGGGAATGTGCAGCAAAGGGAAGAGGTGTCTTGGGGTTGCCTCTGCAGCTCGAGAGCTTCGTGGAATCCCTTAAAGCATTCAGATCTGTGGAGAGCACAACCTTTGCTCTGTGATGTTCTTGATGAATTTGGCAGGTGTGATGTGGGGAGGGGGGGGATGTTTATCATCAAAGGGGAATGAGTGAGGGCCTGTGCGGTACCTTCAGGCTGGAACCTGTCTGATTTTTTTCCCCCTGTGCCTGCCAATCTCTTTTGGAATCAAGGAGACGCCTCTGGAGCACAACCCCACGGCACCCTGTGCTCCTCCAGAGGTGCTGGAATCAGCGGGTGCCACGCGGGTTCCTGGAGGTCCCGGCTGAGCAGCCCTGGCCACCCCTTTGCTGGCCCTTCCCACAGCCAGCCCTGCACTTCCCTGCACGTTTGTGATGTCCTCCAGCTCACCTCTGCTGGAATCTCCCTCGTGCTTTCCCACACCCTTGGCCAGGTATCTCCCAGGCAGGAACACTTTTATTATCCCTCAGCAAAAGGCTGGCACCACCTCAATGCTGCAGAAGCCTTCGTCCTTCCATTTCTGCACCTTCCTCCTCCTCTCCCTCCTCTCCCAGGGCCATTTTTTTTGGTTATGTGTGTCCCAAGTTCTGGAACGCTCCCACCAGTGCTGACTGTCATAAATGCTGAGATGTTTTTCTCTTTGTTTCGTTGTAGGGAATGAACAGAATGGGCTGGACTTTAACAGGCAGGTAAGATGCTCCCTGGCTGCCCAGGTGTTCTCCTCCTTTCTGGAATGGCTGTTTTTTACCTGCTCATCATGCTGCAAAGAGATAAAGCAGACCACAGAATTCCTTCTTCCCAGTTCCCCTCATGGGATACAAAGACAGATTACACCTCTGCTTTCCCCCTCCCTAATCCATAGAAGTTCAGCTATTTAGGGGGTTCATTTAAATGACCATTTGCTTCTGGGGTTTTCTGGCTTTGACAATTTTTTGGATCATCATTTAGAAACAAAAAAGCACCTAAGCTATGGTGGCAAAGGTACAAATCCCTCCCCAAAGCCCCAGTGCTGTGACACTGGCAGCACCGTGGTGTGCAGGGACAAAGGCACGGGGCTGACCCAGGAGTGTCAGCCAGCACCAAAAATGAGCTGGTTGGAGCTCTTGGAGTGCACAGCTCCAATTCCTGTCTGCCAGGCAGCAGGTAAAAATATGGGGCAAGCAAACCCCAACTGCAAAAAGAGCAGCTGAGGGGCCGTGTCCCTGCTGTGTGTGCTCTTCTCCCCCTGCTTTGTCCAGCTGGAAGCATTCCCTGGCTCCGTGAGTGCCTGCAGACCTTCATGGGTGGCTCCGAAAGTCCCTGAGTGTCACAGCAGGAGGTGTGACACCTCTGCAAACCCTCTGGAGCCCTTGGAGCTATGCAGACACAGCTCTGCTGGCAGGGTGGGGAGGCACAGGGTGCCCAGAGCAGCTCTGGCTGCCCCTGGATCCCTGGAAATGCCCAAGGACGGGTTGGACACTGGGGCTTGGAGCAGCCTGGGCAAGGTGTCCCTGCCATGGCAGGGGTGGGATGGTGTCACTGTTGGACACAAAATGAGCGTGTACTCATTTCGTGTCCAATAATGACACAAAACTTGGTGAGTTCAAGAGAAAAAAACAGCCAGTTTCATTTCTGACTTGGCAATATATAGAATTCCAAAAGTGACAGTGGGTGGGAGGATGGAATTGCCACCTCTGCAACCACACTGGTCAAACCAACAGCCCATCAATTCTCTTCTCACAAAGAATAATACAAAACAATCATTATTGACATGGACAGTGCGTGAGAACTCCAGTAGAAATATGTAAACGTTATCAGAAGGCTAAATTGGTGAGAACTTTAAAACTTTCAAAAGATATAAAAGAAAACACTTTTAAAAATCAGGGGAAACAGCATGGGATGAGCTTTAAGGCCCAAACCATTCGGAGATTTCAGGAAAATGCTCTCAGAGCCCAGAGCTGAGGCCTCCTGTGGCCAGCAGAGCTGGAGTGAGCCTGGCAAGGAAAAGAGGAGTCAGGAGAGCCAAGCACTGCCCTGCTGCAGGATGGGGCTGCAGCCAGGAAAATGCACGAGGGGCTGCAACTCCACGCACGGACTCGAGGCACAGCACCCCATGCACTTCCCATGTGCATTCCCCAAATCCCAGCCCTTCCCAAAAGCTCCCTGGGAGCAGCACTGGGCAGCTCCACCTTCCCCACGTGCCTTTTTGTCCCTTTTTGTCCTTTTTTGGGGCTTCCCTCGGTGGCTGTGCAGTGACAAACGTCAGCCACGCCGCTGTTTGTTTGTTTGTTTGCTTTGGCTGCTCCGGCTTTGGGTGGGTCTCCCTTTCCTCCCAAAGGTGTTTTAACACGCTCAGCCATCTTCCAGCATTTTGGAATCCCCAGCTGCAAACAAAAAGCCCTGTGTGCGTCTCCAGCCCAGAGCACGGAGAAGAATCCAATCTGCTCACCAGGGCTGATAAAAGGAAATTCCTTGCAGATAAAAATGAGAAATGAGCACGAGATCCTTGCCCGCTGCAAACTTCTCAAACACCACAGAGGTGCTGGAGCTGGGAGCTGGGCTGGGGCTCATCCAGGAGAGCTGTGCTGATTTCCACCCACTACTGATCTGACCCACCATCCTCTGTGCTCCTCTGAGTGATGCTGGACAAGTTGTGGGGGCAACCAGAAATATCCTGGCTTTACGTTTGCTTTTTGGGTTTTTGGTTGCTTTTTTTTTTTTTTTTGCAGCATTTCCACTTTTATTTTCCTCCCTCCACCAAAACGGCACCACAAAATCCAATTAATTTATTCCAGCTTGGCCGTGTAACTGAATAGCCAACATAGCTGGGATTTAGCGAGATTTAAAAAGCAAACGAGGCTCGTTCTGTTGTTTTATTTTATTTCTAATCTGCTCTGAATCCCCAGAGTCCACCGGAGGGGTTTGCAGTGATGCCAGGGATGGGGTGTAACAGTCCCTGAGTGGACACAGCCCTGTGCAAGTGGCTCTTTGTCTCCCTCTCTTGGCCCTCCCAAAGCCATGGGTGGAGTGATTTCAAATCGTTATTATTTAAAATAATAATTACTATTTGGAAGTATTGTTATTTAAAATAATAATTATTATTTTAAATTATTCTCTTAAATAAGCAGGAGCCCGAACGCACACGGGCTCCACACTCACATTTAGGGTTGACCTCAGCTGTTGGTGAATTCATCCTCAATTCAGCAAATAGATTTCAAATGACGAGGGAAAAAAGGAAGAGAGGAGAGCTGGAAATATCAAAGTGTTTTCATGTAAAATCAGGTGCTGTGCTCTTTCATTAGGGGTGGAGGTTGGTGGGTTTTTTAATTTGATTTGGGGTTTGAGGTTGGTTTTGGATGGGTTGTTTTTTTTTTTAATTCGTTAACTTGCAATTCAAGTTTTCAAACCGAAGCCAGGGCAGGATGGTTTGAAACCCAACTCCAAACTGACTGCAGGAGCTCTCTTTGCCTTTATTTGGAGTGCTGGGCTCTAATCACTTTGAAGATCATAAATCTCACCTCGTTTAAGCCTCTCCCCCAGCCTTTGTAGATGGCCTACATTTCAGGTCTGCTTCCCTGCCTCCCTCCCTGCTGTGCTCCAGGCGGGATGGGAAGGGTGGAGTGACCTGGTTAGACCCCTTCCCTGCCTCCCAACTCCCTGCTGGGGCTGCTCGCACCCTGCAAACGGCGAGGGAGGGAAGCTCCTGCGGAGTTTGAGGTTTTCTAGCAGTTTGTGGGTCAGCCCTGTGCTTTATGAGAAAGCTCCCTCTGATCCCTCAGCCTATTTGGCAAACATTTCTGCTCTCCCCCCCCTTCCCCTCCTCTCTTCAAACTCTCCTCCCACCTGGATGCAGCAGTAATTTGTATGTGAATGAGAGGGAAAAGGGTGTGGATGGAAAAAGCAGCATCTTCAGCCTTGCCTATCTGGTTTGGCTTTTTTATTCAGTGAGTCTGATGCTGGTTGTTTCCTGTTTATGGCCAGGGAAATGCAAAAGCACAGCAATAAACTTTCACCTTCGCTGCTGGCAGCCTGCACAGGGACATCTGCCTCCTGATGGGTTGGGATGGTGGCCAGGGACGGATCTGAGTGACTCTGGCAAAATTTGCCTCCAATGGGAGCAGGACAAGGGCTGGGATTGCTGCAGTGGGAGCTGCTCCTGCCCAGGTGCTGCGGTCTGCCCAGGTCTGCCGGGGTTGAATTCCCCTTTAGGAAACGCTGGATTGTTTGTTTTTGTAGCTGCTCTGGAGAGCCAGGTGTCTGGAGCTCAGCCCTGGGATCCTGCTGCCTGCTGCAGCGCACACACGGATGGAGGGCTGATGGTTTTGGGAGGTGCCAGGGCTTGTGTGAGCCGTGTGAGGGCTGAGCCCAGCTCACGGTGATGTGCATCCATCCGCAGCTGCAGGAGCAGAGTGCACAGCTGCTGAAGCCAGCAGTGCTTTTCCAGCAGGGAAGTGATGGTTGGTCCAGGGAGGAATGCAGGATCAGCTCTCCTCCTTCCAGAGGAGGGAATCAGGGCTCCTCTGCAAGCCTGCCCTGCTCCCCAGAGCTGGGAGAGGAGATGTTCCTCTTGAAATGAAGCTGAGAGGTTTATGTCCCTCTTGAAATGAAGCTGAGAGGTTTCTGTCCTCCTTGAAATGAAGCTGAGAGGGTTTTGTCCCTCTTGAAATCAAGATGAGAGGTTTCTGTCCCCCTTGAAATCAAGCTGAGAGTTTTCTGTCCTCCTTGAAATCAAGCTGAGAGTTTTCTATCCCCCTTGAAATGAAGCTGAGAGGTTTTTGTCCCCCTTGAAATCAAGCTGAGAGTTTTCTGTCCTCCTTGAAATCAAGCTGAGAGTTTTCTGTCCCCCTTGAAATCAAGCTGAGAGGTTTTTGTCCCCCTTGAAATGAAGCTGAGAGGTTTTTGTGTCAGCAGAGCTGGGCAGGATCTGCCTCTTCTCCCTACCCAAATGTGCCAGGCACTCTTCATGCCAGCAAAAGGCTGACCTTGCAGGACAGGCTGTCATTTGTTTATCAAACCTGTCATTATCATCAGTCACATCAATCTGAAGCTGATCTGGCTGGGAGATTTGACAGAGTTTAGGGCAGACAGGCAGGCACTGAGGTGCTGAGCGAGGCCCAGCTTCAGTTTCGCTGCTGGTTCTTTATTCCTGTTCTTTGCTGTCTTTGGTTCACCCCAGTCAGGGGGTGTAGTGAGGATATGGATTTCCAACAGGCTTCCTAGAAAGCCTTTCCAGCTGGGTCTGTTGAAAAATTCCTCCTTTCTAAAACCAGGTCAAGCCTCCTTTGTGTTTCTGCCCTGCTCTCTCACAAGAGATGCTGAAGGGGTTCCCTTCCCTCAGGACCTCCTTGTCTAGCTCCTCTCCCTGCTCTTTTTATATCTGACACTCCTTGCCCAGAGAAACTTTAATTTTGGAGGTTTGTGTGGGATTTCCAGCAGTTGCTTTGAGGTGAGTTATCTCAGGGCTCCACAGCTGATGTCCTGCAGGCGCACGATGTGAGAAATTCAAAGTGGGCAAGCTGCACCTGAGATGTGAAACCCCTGGTGGCTCCTTTTCAGTGCCCTTAATAAACACCCTGACCTCGTTTGGTACCTTCCACCCACACGTCTGAGGGCTCTTTGCTAATGGGTTCAGCATCCCTTGGTGCCTCTGCAAGGTGGGGAGCTGTCCTGCACACACAGCCTGGCTTTTCCCAAAGATGCTGAGCTCTGT